TGCCTGAGCGATGCTTTATGGGCTATTCAAAGGCTAATGGTATTTGACACGATTACAATTGGGATATTCCGTTGCAGATAATCTCAACCTGAGTTGAAGGACCACTTGCGGACGGGTCCATCAGATCAACTGTTAGGCGACGTGCTTGGGATGAACGACGTTGAGCAGCGGAAGCACGACGTTGACGTGATGTCTTCTGGCGTTGTTTCGAGATCTGAAGTCGAATTTTGCGTGCGTTGCGACGTTTAACTCGATTCGATTGCTCCGTTGATGGCTTCTGCAAATCGATCAAATTCCCCTATGAACAACACGAACCATTCTGCAGCTTCACAAAATGCATTCGTCTCTCTATATGTAATCATATGCTTGGGGAGTTCACACCTCTAAGCACTATTGAAACACTACTTCCGGATTACTCATTTGAGATGACTGAGTTTTTCCGGACAAATGTATCGTAAACATTGGAAATACTTCATTTTCTTAGGGCATTACAAAGCTTTTTCCAATTATATGATCGTTAATGAGTTACCAATTGATCTCAATAGAGAAACTCAAGAAGGATTCACTGATATCAACGAGTGTCGCACGGAAACGAACCACCAGCTCAAAACTTCAACGGTCTATCTATTTCAGTTGGCATCGTAACCATCACCTCATAATACCCACATAAGAGAGCAACTAAATCACCGCACCTTTCTGGACATCTTCTGTTGCTCAAGCAACCACGATCAAACAAATAATACAAATCCAATGAAGTCTCGTCTTCATAACATTCATTTTCATTTGGAAACATTTGAATATTCTCATGTAATAAATTTGAATCGTGAAATCCGAAAATATGCGACGCCCCAATTTCATTGAAAAACCAAAACGATTGAGATTAGGAAACAAATCTTCAAACGAAGACGGAAATTCCCAACAGTAGAACGTACCAATATCCCCCATATCACCTCTTTCTGAACTGCTAAGACTGCTTTGGTGTTATACTGTATGAAACGAACGACAAATGGAATCGATTAATTTATTCGGTTTATTTGATTAAAATATTTCCTTTGCATTCAACCAACATCGAAATAACAAATCTTTAAAATTCATAACAAGACAACAAAATTACCAATACAACGCCAACAACAACAATATAACAATAACGATAGCAACAATATTGTAAAATTTTATAAAACTATAACATATCACGGCGCAATCTTAATCTTCATTATATTTATAATATATTTATATATAACTGAATTAAGCCACCGTTGTTCATATAACACGACTGCCAAGCGTAACTTCCTTATGTGATCTTCGTTCAGTTTCTTTGATTTTCAATTTCTTTTTCAGTTTCGACTTCACGCGACCCTCTTCTCCGGGTACCGGTAACATATTACGTTTTTGAAGACTTTTTAATCGATCCATTAGGATGTTACCCTTAAAAAATCCTTTTCTTTGCAAAAAATCGCATCTTCAACAACTTGAATCTTACATCACTACCTAACATGTACAAATTCACAGGTTGTTTTTGGAGAACCTTCGAATGAGTTGACTGAAAAGTTGAAAAATAAACAAATAAAAAAATGATGAAAACTGAATATATGGATGAAGTAAAAATCACCTGAGGTTTGAGTTCACGAAGTGAGCCAGTCAATTCATCCGTCATCAAGAATGGCTGTTCCTCTGGTTTGAACTTACCTCTACCTAGTTGTTGGGTACCAAGCAATTTTTTTGTCCACTGCAATATTGCTTATCAGAAATGCTTTTACAATCAAACTCACATATACAATTTCGAAAAGTCGAAGAAAACTGAATATATGAACGAAACACAAAATGACCTTTTGTTTCCGTCGTAGTTTTGCTTTTTCATTCACCTGCGTCAATTCCTCTGATATTTCTTTGTTGATTTTTTTCACTCTGCAAGAAACAAAGTCAAATTTCTAGAAGCCTCAAATCTCGCTGACAACGACGGAATGAATGAATCTTCATAACGTTATAATACTCATAAAAGTAATCTCGGTAAACCGCTTAAACGAAAATTACATTAACAAATCCTATTCATTCAAACTGAACGAAACTTTATCATTAAAAAACACGGTATCAAGAAAAACAACTGAAATAAACAACGAAAACGCACGCGAATACAGCCTGTTCGGCACTTTTCACACTCTTGTACTCTTCGTCGATGAGTTTCTTCTGCTTTTCCAAGGCTTCCACACGTCGTTCCTTTCTGGTCCTACGTCTCATTGTTGACTTTTTCGCATTTTCTGCTGACGGCATCTCTGGCAATGATCAAAATTAAAAATGCTCAATATATTCAAATTCCAACGTCTATTCATCCAATAAAACAACTCCATCAAGTCACGAAGGATAACAGAAATTTTTTCGAGATGAGTCAAAATTTCAAAATGATACCTTCATCAGATCGATTGGCTGCACCATCTTCTGCTTCTGTTGACTGTTTTTCGTTATCAAATAAGCCCGCACTCTCTTCGGCCATTTTTTCTGACTGAACAAGAATTACTGAATCTGATAGATCATTACAGAAGTAAGCCTCTCTTCAACCATGACATTTTGAGTGGAAAAGATGTACAAAAAAATTCCAGCATTTGAAAATATCGCAAAATTTGAATCGTTACTATAAACGATGAAACAAAATAACACATATGATCCCTTCCTCGAACAATAATTATCACTCCACACTCACCTTTGAAATATAAGTTTGGCCAGGCGCTAGTTTCAACGATTTCTCAAGCTTGCTCTCAACCTTCTCAGCTTTTATCTCCTCATCAACGATTCCATTAATGTAACTCTGAAAAAACAGTAGAAACTTATTAACTCATTTAAAATCTGAACAAACAAAACCCGAAGATGAAGTTTACATCCCCTATATGACCGCATAAATCTTTGCAAAATGTCAGAATGGAACAAGTTCAATGCGACATCTCCTACCTCATACATGGCTACAGGAGGATTGTAAGAAGCTCCCGGTCCGGCCACCTCGACTTTTGGCAAAAGACTTGTAATATGCTTCAAAGTTGACGGCTCTTTCGGTTTTCGACGTTTAGTTGTTTGCAAACAATAATCTCTCATTTGCGCAATCATTTCATCCGATGGTTCCTCACCTCCGTCATCTACAATACTTAAGTACTATTGAGTGGCCAATATATCAAGAGACTGATTCTCGAAATCTTCGGCGAATGAAATTCATAAGTAAACAGGCAAACAACCTCAAGTTATAAGGAGAGATTCTTAACATGTATTCAGTGAAAAAAGTGTTCATACCAATTTCAGGGATCAAATTTTATGGAGAAGTCATGAAAATTATTACTTTTGGATGAAGACCTTCATAAGATGAAGTAAATATCTTCCATGTGACCGGATAAATAATCGAATTCAGTGAAATTGATTTCAACAATTATCCACTTACCATCTGCCCATAAATCGTAAGGTTTCTTAGATGTAGATGTTAAAATTTTTTGCGATTGCTTCTTTGCCAAACGTGCTAATCTTTTTGACTTCTTTGGAAATGTTTTCTTAAGTTCAGATTTCGACGGCTTAATATCTTCTGTTTCTTCTTCCTTTACCGCCTTGATACT